AATAACCAATCGCAACAGTAAGACACCATATACGGTAAAATGCACCGGTCTTATTATGAGAGAAGCCAACCCCAAGTATTAGTTAGGGTGAACGGTTAGGGTGCTGTAAAAAAGGAGACCCAAGAAAGCAGTGGCGTGGAGGACAGAAAGAAGTGTATTTCACAAACAAACAAACAAAACAAAACAAAAAAGAAGTGTATTTCTCTCTCACTGACAGCTGTGAGGTGAGAGTCCAGGTGAGTAGGGTAAGATAGTCACATGCTAGATTCAAGAACCCAGTTCCTTTTATCCTGCTGCTCTGCATCCACTAGGGTGCAACATCTGACATACTTAAAATGATTCACTGTTCATCTGAAATTCAAATTTAACTGGGTCTCTTGTGTTTTATCTGGTGAGTCTACAGTAGGACATTGTCTAGTCTACAACCAGCAAAGCTGGGTTCCTGCAGATTACAGCTGGTGAAAGGTGGAAAGAAAATGAGGTGAAAGCATACCAGCTCTCCGGAGGTCTAGGTCCAGAAGTGTCATATACAATTCTGCTCATTTTCCATTGGCAAGAAATTGAATCACATGATTATGCCCAACAGCAAAGGAGACTGGGGAATGTTGGTTAGTTAAATGCCCCCCACCAAAAAAAAAAAAAATGGGTGAGAGGATTACCAGCAGTCTTCACCATAAGAACCCTCTGAATTGATTTTCTATGTCCTTTATTTCTTCTTTTCACATCTGTGTGTTTTTGCTTACATTTTAGGGGCTTTTCTTGATTTTATCTTCCAAGTGGTCTCTTGAATATCTTATTTTAGCTACCATGTTTAATTTCCAAAAGCTATTTCTTATTTTCCAATTATTCCTTTCCACTAGCAACCTTTCTTGCTTTATGGAGGTAGTATCTTTTCAGATCTTTCTGAGAATATAACTAGAATTTTTAAAGATTCCACTGTGCCATTACTTTCTGTTTTCTAGAGTCACTTATTCTGTTTATCTTCTCTCTCTCTCTCTCTCTCCCTCTCTCTCTCTCTCTCTCTCTTTTCCTTCCTCCCTCCATTTTTCCCTCCCTCTTTCATGCTTCTAGCTATCTTCATAATTCTGGTGCTCCTGGTTGCCTGTTTATGAAATAACAAACTTGATTAATTTTAGTAACTGAGCTGGTTTTCTCTTCTGCTGTATGTTTCCTCTGTTGCTGTATCTGTTTCCCTGATACAGTCACCCTCTTGAATAGGAAGAATGAGTATAGTTTTATGGCAGGCTTGACTATAGGGTGGATGATTGTTGGGGGTTTGTAAATGTCAGAATGACAAAAGTTTTATTCTGGTATGCTAACACCACACAAAAACACACTAGATTTTTCCTAGAGATCTATTGGATTTCTATAGAATGACCCTTCTGGGTTCTTGATACATGTGCATGTGTGTGCACTCATGCACATGTGTTGTGTGTGTGTGTTGTTTGTCTGGAGGTAAGTGCCAGGCACCCTCCATTCTGGAGATAAGAGGGGGGTGACTGGTGCAAGCTTCTGCACAGACAGACCTACAAACTCCCTAGTTTTTAGGTCCATTTTTTATCTGTCCTCAGTACTTGCTAATTATAAAGTCAGAGCCTCTCTGGAATTTTGCCAGAAAGACTGGCTCTCTCCTCCATTGCCCACTTCTGGGCCATGGCTTCCTTCAGTCTGTTAAGCCATCCTTGTATGTCATCTACTTCTAGAAATTTGTTGATGTCTTTGCACCTGCCACCCTTCTTCCCTGCCCTTCTGTTGTTTTAGGGGGGGTTATTCGGAAAAAGGGGAGAAAATCACTTGAGCTTAGACTACTGTCTTAAACCTTTAATGTTTACATGCTTTACAAATCTCTGAAGATATTTATTTTTGCAAATGCTTTCTGGGGTGGAACAAGCTGGTAAATGGTGAGGCCTCTTCCATTGAGCTCCTTAGTATGTTTGTGTATGCAAATTGGCATCAGAGGCTGAGGAAAGCCACACGGCTTTTTATAATAGAGTAAAACAACCTGGAGTTTCCAGGGAATCTGGGAAAAAGAGGCTAAGAACAGCAATGGGAGGAAAGAGGAGAGGAAGCTAGTGACATGCCATGATGGAAACCCCTCCCCAAGACTCCCAATGTCTCAAAGGGATTCTAAATACCTAGAATGGCAGCATTTCTCAGGGAAGTCCATGAAGGTGCTTAACTCTGGGATAGGGATAATGGGGACAAAACAGTGAAGGCTTGTACAGACCACAGGAACCTTTGACAAGAAGAGACCATAAAGCATAAATCACAGGAACCTGCAGAAATCGTTTGGAGAGTTTGAACTTTCCCTTCCGTGAAATTGGCAAGGCTCTGGGCCAATCCTACAGAGCTCTCATGGGTTAGGAGAGCCCCATCTAGCCCCTGCTAACACGGAAACCCCAGCCCATGAACTTGGTCAAAAAAGGGCAAATGAGATTGGTCAGCAAATTATGTCCCATGATCAAAGCAGATGCTTTGTACATCGGTCCTGGGTCTTACTAGCAGCAAAGACTCCCCAAAAGTCACAGTATGTGTCACTAAGGTTGCAAGGATAATGATACCAAGCTCCCCAGACTGAGAGGAGACAGGCAGACCTGGCTTGGTCATGGGTATAAAGAAGAGCTTGGCCTTGGGATCAGACGTACCTGATTTGAATCCCAGCTCAGTCATTCGGTCGGGTCATTTAACCTCTCAGAATTTTCTTATCTTGAAAATGTGGATACTGCTACCTTGGAGGATAGTTACAGAGATCAAAGGTAAGAGATGTTCAATAACTGTTGCTCAGCAGATGCTTGATAGATGGCGACCTTTATTATTAAGGTGTGTGAGAATTCATACATGTCAGTTTGTTTGACTCTGTGCTTAAAATATGGAGATTTTCAAGAAGCAGGGAAATGTATGTGAAATAAAAGTGCTTTGTAAACTGTAAAGTGCCATACAAACATCAGGGAATCATTTGGGAAGTCTTCCATAGTTGGAAAAAATACAGGTTTTGGATTTGGGCAGAAGTAGGTTCATTCCTGACCCTGCCATTTACTTGCCATGTAATCTTGGCTAAGGCATTTTCTGTCAGCCTGTTTCTGCCATTGTCAAATGTGCATAAGTCTAACTTCACAGGGTTGTTGTGAGAATTCAGTGGGATGAAGAGTGGAAAGCTCCTGAGCACATCCCTTCCTGGGTGGGTGGCAAGGTCCCATGTGATACGTCAGGTTATGGGCAGTGTCAGTGCCACGCCTGATGCCACAGTCTCATCCTGTCAACTGTCTACATATGAAGAGGACCCTTCACTCCAGAGAAGCAGGACCCCAGATTGGCAAGAAGTAGAGAGGGGTCTTTTGTATTTCTTGGAGGAAATCTGGTGAACACTGAACTTATATATAGAAAGCACTGAAATCTGCAGTATGGAACCAGGCCTAAACCGGGGCAGGAAGCGGGAATGATTCCTGCTAAGTTGTCCCAGATTTGGGCACTAAATTATTGCTCCTAAGGGCAGACTCTCATTATGGGTTCATCTTATCCCACCCTTCAACCCCTACTCCCTGCCACTGTCATTTTTCCTAGGCACAAATAAGTGCTCAATAAAGAGTCTAAAGTTGAGCCTGCCCGGTGTGGCTCAGGGGTTGAGTGTCGACCTATGAACCAGGAGGTCATGCTTTGATTCTCAGTCAAGAAATATGCCTGGGCTGTGGGTTCGATCCCCAGTGTGGGGCGTGCAGGAGGCAGCCGATCAATGATTCTCACTCATCATTGATGTTCCTATCTCTCCCTTCATCTCTGAAATCAATGAAAAGACACATATTTTTTAAATGGTCTAAAGTTGAAAAGGTGGCACTAACTTCCTACAGAGCAAATTGTCCAGGGTCCCGTCAAGAGGCCATACTAGCTCCCACCTCCAGGCAAGCCCTTGGACCAAGGTCAGCCCCCTAAGAGGCTCCTTCTTCAAAGCCAACAAGGTGAATGTAGTGAAAAGAACATCTTAGAACCAAAGGAGGCCCAAGCTTGAACTCTGGTTCTACCACATACCTGCTGTGTGACTTCACAGCAAGTGACTTCCCTTTCCTCACTTCTGTTTCATTTTATTCCCTTGAGGGTTGCTGTAACAACTAAATGAAATAAAGAATGGAAATGGGAGCCTTGGCTGGTTTGGCTTAGTGGATAGAGCGTCAGCCTGAGGACTGAAGGGTTCGATTCTGGTCAAGGGGACATGCCCGGGTTGCAGGCTCAATCCCTGGTAGGGGGCATGCAGGAGGCGGCCGATCAATGATTCTCTCTCATCATTGATGTTTCTATCTCCCTCTCCTTCTCCTTTCCTCTCTGAAATCAACAAAAATATGTTTGTTTTTTTTAAATGGAAACGTGACTGGTAGCCCTAGCTAGTTTGGTTTAGTCACTAAACCAAGTGGTTCTCAACCCTTCAATACAGTTCCTCGTGTTGTGGTGACCCCCAACCATAAAATTATTTTCGTTGCTACTTCATAACTGTAATTTTGCTACTGTTATGAATTGTAATGTAAATATCTGATATGCTATATGTGTTTTCCGATGGTTGCGACCCACAGATTGAGAACCGCTGGTGGATGGAGCGTCAGCCTGTGGAAAAAAGGGTCCCAAGTTCGATTCTAGTCAAGGGCACATGCCTGGGTTGTGGGCTCAATCCCCAGTGAGGGGTGTGCAGGAAGCAGCCGATCAATGATTCTCTTACCACTGATGTTTCTCTCTCTCCCTCCCTCTTCCTTCCTCTCTGAATTCAATAAAATATATTTCTTTTAAAGAAAAGAAATGTGACTGGTAGAATCTATGGCATATAGTGAACGCTCAATTAATATTAATTCCTTTCCTTTCTCCTTTCTCCCCAAAGGCCCAGAGACTTAGCCTGCTTCCCTTTGCTTTTCTGAGCAACCACCCATCTTGTCTTTCTTGAAATTCAACTCTCTTTCAGAGTAGCTGCAGAGAGACCAGCTCCCCACTTCTTTGATGCCCCCAAATAAGTACACAGGTCCTTTTCATTGAAGGGTTTTACTGCTGGTCACTCAGGGAACAGATGCAGGTGGGGGCAGGGATAACAAGTCACACACATGGGGAGTGTGAAGGTCCCTAGATCATGGCTCCCTGAGGGCTTCCCCTCCATTTCTAAGGCAGGACCGCCTCTCCAGGCCAAGGAAGCTCCTTCCACTGGGAAGATGGCTCCTCCCGGCCCAGCTGGAGCACAGTGGACAGAACTAGCAGGCCACTGCAATGGGCCCTCAGCAGTTCATACACAATGTAGTGCCCATCTCACAGGTACTTCCTCAAAGGCCAGGGACAGCTGCCCTAATAAGGTGAGCATTTACTAAACCTACCCTATTTCTCTTTCACCCCAAGGAGATGAAGCCAAGACCAGATCCTCTGACTTTCCAAGGCAAAATATCGGCTTGGAAAGGGGCAAAGATTTTTACTCAGAGTCCCTTCTCAGGACTTGCTGGAGATCCTGGCTTCAGAGGCAACAGGAAACCATTCTCCAAAGTGGGGTGAAGGGCCTGAGGTCAAGGGGCAGCAGCAGATCCTAAAGATCTTCCTACACTATGTTGAGGTCTCTCCCTTACTCCTTCAGCCGGAATCTTTCCCAGCCTGCTCTCCCATGTGCGTTTTCTGGTGGCGGATGAGATTTGAGCTCCGAGAGAAGTGTTTCCCACACAGAGTGCACCGGTAGGGCTTCTCCCCTCTGTGAGTCCTCTGGTGTGCTCCAAAGTTGGAGATGTCGCTGAAGGTCCGCCCACATTCGGTGCACTCGTAAGGCCTCTCGCCTGTGTGGGTGCGGTGGTGCACCCCAAAGCTGGAGCTGTTGCTGAAGCTCTTCCCACACTCACAGCAGATGTAGGGTGCCGGCTCGAGGTGGGTCCGGTGATGCACGGCCAGCGTGGCGCTCTGGCTGAAGCTCTTGCCACAGATGTCACAGCGGTACGGCCGCTTGCCCAGGTGATCTTGCTGGTGTGTGGTGAGATCCGAGCGCCGCCGAAAGCTCTCCTGACACTTGGGACACTTGTAGTGCTTCTCCTCCAGGTGGATCCGCTCGTGCCGGATGCGGTTGGAGCTTCTCGAGAAGCTCTTGCCACATTCAGAGCATTTGTAAGGCTTCTCGCCCGTGTGGATCCGCTGGTGTGTCCTCAGGTTGGAGGTGTTATTGAAGGTTTTGCCACACTGGGCACATATAAAGGGCTTCTCATCGGCCTCAAGTCTTGAATGGACAATGGGGTCCCCTGGCTCTCCAGTGGGGACAGTGGCTTTCTGCCAGGGCTTTGGGGGATGGATTCCTTGTGGTCCCTCTGACAGGCTCTCTTGCCCATGCTCTTTCTCCCCATCTGGGATCCGAAAACCCTCTGGGTCATCCGCTCTCCAAGGCTTACCCCGCTCCCCTTCCTCAGGCAGGTGCTGTTCTGGATTCTGCTCCTTCTCACTGCCCATCTCTGAACCCTGAGAACGAACACAAATGGCCAACACCTTTATTCCTTGGGTCAGGCCAGGCCACAGGGAATCTTGTTCTGTTTGAAGAGGGATACACCTTCCCCATGGAACCAGCCACCAGAAGTAACCTCAATTAATGGGAAAACTTGCATAGAATGCCTTTACTTACTAACTTGCAAATGAACAAACTTCCAGATATTTCAAGCTACCAAACCAGAATGAAAAGGAACCACTTTGTCCACCACCACAGATCATATTTGTGCAATGGAATAATATCATTTTTCTTCATACCACTAAACGATACAGTCCACACTATAATTTATGTGCAAGTGAAGGACTTCCATTTTAGAATAAGTTCAGTTCTTCTGCCTAACTGTAAGTTAACTGAAACTCGTGTTTATATCTTTTTTTTAACCTTCCTTAAAAGTATCCATCTATGTGCCTGCTTTCAAAATGAACATAACAGAACCTCTCATTCTTGAGGCTCTCCTGGTTGTTTACAAGGCCCAGCTCTGAATCCTCTTAGGTGTTCTGTACCCTTCCCTTCCCTTCCTCGGACCTCACTATAATCCAGCAAGTAACGAGTTAACATCTGAGACCTCTGAGACCTACTGCAGGGTCTGGGCCGTGTCTGTTCTCATTGGTCAGTACACACTTCCACTCTCAAACACCATACAGAAGCACATGCGCACACACATGCTCACACCATATGCACAGCCATACTCACATTCCAGACACACTTCAGCCACCTCACACCACACATACATACCACAGTCACACATACACCACACTCTCACAGCACATATAGCCACACACATGCGTATCATATACACCATTCACAGTCCTCCCACACATACAGTCACATAACTGGCTACGTACTCACACACATACAGCTATACTCTTATACCACATGCAATCTCACACACATATACACAGCCATACACTCACATGCTACATACACCCACAGAGACAAGACACAAAAATCACACTCACACACACAAAGCTATACACACGGATACACAAACCACACACACACACCACACTCCCCTCACACATAGCCACACACACACACAGTGACTAGCACAGGGCCTACTTATGCAAACATCAGTAAATGCTTGCTAAGCTGCATACATTCTTTTGAGGTCCTACAGCCAAGACCAGAGAATGATGGGAAGAAAAAGTACTTCTTATACGAGGAGAGTGTGGTGTTTCCTCCAGGCCTTGGAGAAATAACATTTCAAAAGGCAGAGCGGGCTGCTAGAGATACAGTAGAGTGACATGAACAAAGGGATGAGGGAGGGAAGCACACACTATGGAGAGGCCCTGATGATAAAATGAAAGACTGATACTTCCTTCAGGTCAGCAAGTATTTCTGGAAAACAGCAACATAAAGTAACAGAAGGGACAGTGACTACATTTAGGGTTGGATGCCAGTGATGACACATATTCTCTTTAAAATTCTGCAAACTATTCAACCACTCTGAGCCTCCGCTCCCACATCACTAAACTTGTGATGACCTACCTACACTGCGTTAGAGAAGATGCCAAGGCATGCTCAGTGTAGTGGGTGGTATGTACTGGTCATTCAGCAAACGACAGCTACGGTTACAGTTGTTGAAGGCACTGTTTCCTAGACCTGTGGAGAATACAAGAATGGAAAAGATCCCTTCAGTGATCTTGTTAGGAAAAAAACATTTTTTAATTGAAAAATGGTACAAGAACACCCTGGTTAGGTGGCTCAGTTGGTTGGAGCGTTGTCCCATACACCAAAAGGTGACGGGTTCGGGTATGATTTCTGGTTAGGGCACATACCCAGGTTATGGGTTCCATCCCCAGTCACAGCACACACGGGAGGCAACTGATCAATGTTTCTCTGATACACCAATTTTTCTCTCTCTCCCCCTCCCTCCCTCCCTCCTTTTCCCTTCCTCTCTTTCTCTAAAATCAACAAAAACATATCCTTGGGTGAGGATTTTAAAAAATGGTACAAGACTGTATATAATTTAAATTATGGAATATGGACAGAGCCTCAAATCTTTAAGTAGGATCAGATTGACGTTTTTCTGTAAAGGGCCAGAGAGTAAATATGTAGC